TAATTTCTGTATGCTGAAAGGAAAGTTGTACGTTGTGCTGTTAAAAATCCAATTCGCGAGTAACCGGTTTGCAGCTTGAGTAGGATGAGCATTATCCCAGAACAAGTATTGCTCCCTATTAAAACACGGTTCTCTGTACGGTTGACACAATGCTGCCCTTTTATTTATCCCGATATCACAACATGGCTTGTCCTTCACCGTAAATCCTGTTACAAACACCGTTAATCACTGCCCAAAGAGGGTGTAAAATATTTTAATTAATTAATTAATTTGCTTGATTTTATTTTGAGCTTAATTAATTAAAAATATTTGTACTAATTTCGAGTTTCTCACCATAATAACCGGCATTGTCACGCAAGGTCATGAATATTTCGAAACTGCCACCAAGACAGAAAATCGAGCCAGGGTTTTTTGAATTGAGCCGATTTACGAGGGGCTTTAGACGTGAATTGAACATTTGGACCAAATTATTTGAACTCGACTCACACTCTCCTTGAGGGACTTCGCCCTGACCTAAAAAAAAAGGTATGCAACCAATAGGGGCAACCTCTGCTATGAAGAACTTTCGAACTCCCAACTTTTGCAATTCCTACACGAGGAAAATGTGCAAAATGCTAAATTAAGATGATTGATTGTAAGTTAGAATGTAGATTTTGATTAAGTTATGTAGTAAATTAAGTAGAACTTAATTTTTTTTTTCAGGATAATCAGAATCTTTACCAATATATTCCCTTCGTATTGCTTTGCGAGGAGATCAGCAAATTCTTGAGGGCTATTACTCTTGCTACTTAGGTGTCCAAAAGGGAATAAATAATTGTTAAGGTAATCATTTGCGCCCATGTCAAGAAAAACGATGGCCTTCGCCAAATAATTGCTCAAATCCTCTGTCTGCATTTGATCTTTGAGTTGATTCAACGTATTTTCGAAGTTACTGATCTGTTCACGTAGGGGGATCAGTTGGCCCTACCCAATTTTTCGTAGAATTTTAGTTTTTTGTTATGATTGATATCAATATTTAAAGTACATAGATTCGTGACGTGGACATTACAAGTTGATTTCCAGTGTCCTCAAGAATTCCAGATCCGGCTGAAGCATAATTTACTCCATACATGATGCTCTCGCCATTCACATTAGTATCTGCATATGATGGAATAAGTGGAAGTCCCAATAATTCACCTGCATNCAAAAAAAAAAAAAAAAAAAAAAAAAAAATACAAGTGAAAATATAGTGATTTTGAAGAAATGTTACTATGCAATGCGCGTTTAAATGTGATTAGGCATAACTATATTGTCTTTCCGTTGGTGAATACCAATATAGTCGACAAGTATCTTCCCGTTGGTGAATCTCCCGGTGGGCCGGCCCTTATCGAAATCAATGCCGTAAGGCCAAAATTTGGCTTTTGCTGCGGCAAAAAGAAAATAAATGTTGTTGCCATTGTCAATCAATGAATCGCCAAATACATACATTGCTGTGACTTTTGGCTTTGCATTTGCATCATCAGCCGATGAACGAGCTGTGGAAAAGGCTAACACAATGGTAATTAACATCAGTATCGAAAAATTAGCTTCCATAATTTTCTATGTTTCCTTTTAGCAACTAGGAAGGTCTATTTGTCTCTACTCAATTTTCAGTGATTGTTTGTTGTTATATATAGACCTCCCAAGGAATCCTGGGAGTGGGAGACAAATTTTTTATTATCGTGTAACACAATAAGGTTAAATTGGACCTTTAATTATAGTTGCTAAGTAGCCACGGAAAATTTATATATTTTTTGATATAATTTAGAATAAATAAATATTTAGTTAATAAAATAAATACTTTTTTACTACCACGTCTTAAGATCATAGAATAAAAGATTATATCAAATTTTGAAAAATCAGTCAAATTGATTTTTTTAGGAAACTCTATCCTATTTGTAGGTCCTCTCCAAGCGGAACTTAAAGATTTAAAGGTTTTAAAGGTGGAAAAACATTCTAGTTGAAAACTGACGTTTAATTTGGTATCAAGCTTTCGAGTATCTGAATTTCGTTGATATAAATGTGATAGAGAAAAATGTCAAGAATAAAAAGCGGCAGCGATTCTTTTTTCAAAAAATAAAGAGGTGATATCCACTTCTCTTAAGTCAAAGTCAACAACATTCAAGATGCATTTGCCATGAAGTTCAAAAAACATAGCCTTTGATAAGTAAATATTTCAAATCCACCAAAATAAATATTTCATGTCCTTGAATCAAAGTTGTAGAAGTCCAACAAGAAAGATCAAATAAGTATGTCCTCAAAATCAAGTCCAAACATCGAATTTGAAATAAGTCAATTCGACCAAGTCGAACTCATGCTCAAGTTGGAGATTCAATCGACATATCCACATTTGAAAATCCAAATGAAAATCCAAGATGATAAGAATCGGAGAAGATAAATGGATATTGTACCCACAAAATCGTTAGATCAAAATAAAAATCAAATTGTGCAATGAAAAATTTGTTGTTCCATACAGGTTACATACATCTTGTAGAAATCTTAAGAGCTTCTACTCAGGTACAAGTTTTTATGCAGCTTTAAATAATTTAGTGGTCTAATTCTTAGTGCACAAAGGAAAGGGAAAGACACTCCTTACTCTATTCGGATTTTACCACATAGAAAGAGTATGTGATGTTTAATGCAAGCTTAAATTGCTGTCTATGGCAGCCGGGCTACATTTGTACAGACTAGTGGCAACACTAGTCCGTTTTTAATTCTATAAAAAATAAAGTAATATATAGATATATATCCCCTCTGTATATATATAATTTCATAATGCGCTGAGCCTACGTGACACATTCTCATGCTTCAGAATCATATTTTTTTTCATAACTTATTTGTATATTATATATCATACTTTGTTGCGTTAAATTTTAACTTTAGTAGTGAATGTTTTGTAGATATATTATCTCAACATTTTCATTGAATAAGAGCTTTTCTATTTTTCATAAAATACTTTTAAAAATCAAAGGAAGAAAATATAAATATCACACGTGTCTTTGTATGAATGACATTTCTGAAAACTTTCAATAAAAAAAAAAAAAATCAAATATTTACTAAAATACAAAACAAAAACTAATATTGTGCAAAAAGAAGATATTCATACTATAACAATTCATTTTATTTTTCTCATACATCCAATTTAAATTTTATTTAACACGCAATATTATCAAATTGACTCGGATGCTAACTTAAGACAGGCTGATGGAATATTTTGCATGAGATCCATTTATTGTTTCATTTTATTTAGCATAAATCTTGAATTATCCCAGTTTGATTTCACTTTAACATGTGTGTACTACAAATAAGAACCACACAGATGATCAAACATTGTTGGAAAGATTACACCATGAATCTATCAGAAGCCACAGACATTAATTAACAATATGCTTGTTTAGTTTCATTCACTCATAAAATTATTTTTGTTGTCACATTAAAGCCATCTGTTGAATGTTTACAGGATAGCAATCTGAGGTGGAGCCCGAATAAGCCCTTCGGGCTAAGATCTGATTGGCTGCTTCAGTCGGATGAAAAGCATCCCAAAATACGTACTGATTTCTATTCGGGCATGGCACCGAAAACGGGAGGCATGTTATTTCTCCTCTGTTTCTTCCTATTCCACAACAACCTCTATCTAGCACACTAAACCCTGCAAATCATATAATAATCCACAACCTTAACAAACAAGAATCATGTGCTAATAATCTTATGGTGTCTGCAAATGGGAAAAGACTTAGTTAAAAATTTTTTACTTCTTACCATATATGTTAGGATTGTTAAGTATGTCCACAAATGCTCCAAATGTATTGCCATAACTGAAAACAGAGCCATTATTATACTTGCTATTTAGCTGATCCACAAGTGAAATGAGCCGGTTATTGAACATCTCGACCATATTATTGGTGAATTCCACACATTTTCCAGGTGGCGGATTATTGGCGGCTAGTTGGTTCGGAATGCAGCCGAGTGGCCCAATACCTCCTAGAAAAAATTTTCTAAGGCCCAAGCTATGAAGTGCCTACAAAAAGATGTCTATTAATTATTGATCGAAAAGTAGGTAATAATATAGGTTGAGGTGATTTTGTGGGATGATATTCTAAACTGTTATGTATTTATATAAGTGAATCCCAATTACATAACCAACATATCATAAAATAATTTTACCTTGCCAGAAAGGATCAATTTATTTTGGAATTAGTTGATAATTATGGCGAAAACTAGCGAAATTTGAAGGAAATTTGAACCGACTCACCAGAATTTGTCTTGTGTAGCGATTTATGAGGAGATCAGCATAGTCTTTAGGGGTGTAGATGTAACTTGTGGAGTAGAAAGAAGGCTGAAGATAGTTATTTATGTAGTCATTGCTGCCTAAGGACATCACAACTAATGATTTGGACAAATAAGTGCCCAATTCCTCATCTGTCATTTGGTTCCTCAATTGCTTCAAAGTGCTCTCAAAGTTCTCAACTTGTTCAGACAAGCTGAATCTTTCACCCTGTCATCAAATTTTGATATACCCATTTTATCAACAAATTAGAACAAGACAAAAACTAAAATAAATCGGTAAAAAAGTTATAAATGACAAAAAGAAAAATCGACTACTAGTGAAAAAAAATTATTACAAGGTTTCGTCCCGTCTCTTCAAGAATCCCTCCTGCAGCCGAAGCATAGTTCACTCCCCTGAGGACATTTTTGCCAGTTGCTAAAGGGCTTGTGTAAGCCAATACAGAAGGATATCCCAACAAGTCACCTACAAATTGGAAGTGTGTTTGGATTTGCAACAAGTTCTTGATTAATTAGTTTTAGAAGCACTTGTTCGCAAGTAGAAGTCATTAAACTTTGATGAGTTAAATGATATTTAGCACTTACCAATATAGTCTATAGCAGTTTTGCCGTTGCAAAATCTACCGGAAGGCCCTTGGTCGAAATCGACCCCATAAGGCACGTAATTCGCTTTTGCTAAGGAATTCAAGTAATTGTTGTTCCCAGGATCGGTCAACGAGTCGCCAAAAGCGAACATTGCCGTGAACTGTGGTGTTGACTCTGAAGCAACAATTTGTACTCCAGTTGGAAAAGCAATAGCAATTAGAGCCACCATGAAAGGCATCCATTTTATGCATCCAATTTTGGTCTGTAATATTTTTGCCATTAATGCAGCCAGGTTTAATTTGTTGCTAGAAAGAAGAACTCATTTGTTATAATCTTGCATTCTTGCTCTTTAAGCATGAGGACATGCTCTTTTTTTTTTTTGGCGCAAGTCCCACCTGAGTTTTGCTATAATTAGTTTCAGTTACCAGATTTTAGTCATCTTTTTTAGGCTTTTTTGGTATCAGTCAATGCATTTCTCGCACTGCCATGTGCAAGAAAACCACCTCTTTGTTGTTTTTGCACATTTTTCAACTTATTTGCAGTAGTATTGTACACTATCCGGAGGAATATATAACTTTTTCAGCTCTTCATTCAGCTAATTCGACTCATATTATGTTAAACCTTTTCCCAGTTCATTAATTAATCTTGATAACAACTTGACCATATATAAAGTCTGCAGATTAATTTGGGTGTGGTTCTCTCAAGTTGGGTACAAATCTTTTGGGATGAATGGTGATTTTTTGTGCCAAAATTCACCTTGTCACATGAATTTACTGCAAAGACCATACTTTTCTGTTACTGGAAATTTTAATCTAGTCCTGCAAAGAAACTCAGAGAACAAATGTATGCTGTAGAAATTACAGCAAATGTAAATGTATTTTGAAAACGAAAACCTCAGGCAAAGTAGATATATCTTTTATTGTTTAGGGTTTAGAATGTGAATATCAAGAAGATGGTTTAAGGAGAATAAAGAAAACAGAAACAAAAAACAAAGTTGAAGCACGTAATAGTTACGTTCTCCTTAAACCGAAATTGCCTGTAAGATACTTACGGTTAACAGCAAAGTGCCTCCAAGATACAACGATTTTTGACTTATATATAACGTTACTTCAAATATACAAGTTTCGTCAAACATTACTATTGTTTGAAACTCTCTGGACACTACAAAAATTAGAGAACACAAGTATCATGCAAGAGCTCTAAAATTGCAAGTATAATTTTGATTGATTCATGTATGTGGTTTAGATGTATAAAGGTGGTTTAAGTGTCAAAAAATATATTTTGGTTTAAGGTGGTTTAATTTGGCTTGTCCAATCATTTCTTGAAACCCAAATCTTTTGCGAATTTTGGTTGAATTATGTTTGAGTGAGATTTTGAGTTTATATTAAAGTAATAATTAAAATAAAACAAAGGTTATTGGATGTAAAAATAGAAGATAAGTGACTGAAAGTAATGAATAATTAAAATTATGTGGGTGGGTAAATATTGAATTAAAGTTATATGATGTATAAAAATAATTGATTGTTATTCTTTAATTATATTGATTATATTAAGAAGAATTGAGTTGAGTTAAAATTGAATTAAAAAATAATTAATTTTTATTTTTTTTTATCTAAGCACCACCTAAAATATTATCGGGTAAATAACTAAATATTACATAGAGGAACCAAACATAAAAATGAATTAAAAATGAATTAGTCCTACTTTTCAATAATTAATCAAGCACAAAACTAAAATTATGTTCTAAAATCCAAGTCCGAGTGGACGTGGAAATATGGATGACCACCTGTGATAAATGTATAATTTTTTTATATAAACCGACTTTTAGATTTTTCCCAAGGATAGGATTGACCTTTCCTACTTATAATCAAGCCCGAAATTAACTATTTCCCGAAATTACACGACGCCCGAGGAAATGAAATACATTTAAAGTACAAAATAGTCCCCCCAAATTTTCCACCCCACGCCAGCCAAACCCTACGCTCACGCCCCCAACAAACGCGCCGTTTTTCCCTCGTCGTCCTCATCATCATCCCCTTTCTCTCTCCATCTCCACCCTCTGCGTTTTTCTCTCTTTATTTTTCATTTTTCTCGTCGAACCGTTTTTGTTTCTATTTTACTTCTCTATCCTTTTTAAATTTTAAGTTATTATTTATGTTTTCTACTATTAGCCGTCCGATCTGAAGCAGATCCAGATCTGAGACGAAGATTTGAGAACACGCACCCCACGCGCCGAGATCTGATCTCAGGGGAATGACCATGGTGGTGAACGGGAGGCCCACGAAGAGACTGGTCAAGCGGCGTGTCACCGCCGATCTCAGAGATTTCCTCACCTTCCCCACCGTCGGGGACCAGGACTCGTCCTCCGTCGCCCCAAACCCGTTTAGGACGGCGGTACGGGCCTTCCTGACTAAGCACGCGCTCCTCCCTCCCCCATCGTCGCTCTTCCCTCACCTGCTCACCTGGCAGATCCTCTTCCGTGTCGGCGATCTCGCCGGAGGCGACGGCGGACCCGCCGTCGTCTGCCTCGACGTCGTGGAGGAGGATGTTGAAAGATCCAGATCCGTTTATTGCGACCAGTGTCGCGTCGTGGGTGAGTTCTGAATACCGACTCAGCCGAGTTGACTCGGTTCCTTTATTAATCGTACCTTATATACCAGATCTTTTAGGGGAATATTTTTTTTTCTTTTTTATTAAGCTTCAATTCCTCTGGACGGAATAATACAAAATTACGAAACACGCTCAAAATATGAACATTACATTAACTAAATATATTCGACTTTTTAATTGATTTGCTATTGATTTTTAACTGTTCTGTAAGGGGACTAGTTGAAGTAATGAGCCTCCCCATACAGGGGGCCCGTTACTTCAATTGAGATAATGAAAAATTCTTTTGTCGTTTTAGTTCTTTTTAGTTGGAACTTTAGGCGGTTCTCGAAAAAAGATAGAGAATCAAATTATCCCTAGAGTCGAAACTAAAAGGAATGTATAAACCAATGCTTCCATAAATTTATTTACGGGATAATTGTAATGTTAAGTAATTATAATTTTTAATTCGCTAACAAAATTAATATTGGGCTTAATTGACCTTTAATATGATACTCCCAATGCAGTGAAGTGATTAGCTGGACCTGGACTAAAGCTGTCAGTAAAAAGCAGAAATAGAAATCAATTTGGTGGGCCCAATCCTAGAGAATATTTAAGTCCACGAAAAAAATAAAAATAAAAGATAGATATAGTAGACAAGTGGGCCATCATCATGTCTCACTCATTTTCCCTAAACTATCCCCAATCACAAATGTGTTCAAACTTATAAAATATGAAACATTGCCAGTCGACCCTTGTGTTCAAAGGCTATGAATGTCTTCTAACAATTATTTTAAGGTTCCATAAGTTGGACAAGGCTATAAATGTCTTTTTAAATAATAAATTTACATTAGTTGGAGGATTCTTATTTTCTATTAGAAATTAATAGTTTTTTTGACTTTTAGGGTAAAAAAATGCCTTGAGGCGTGATGAGCATGCTGTATATCATAACATTTGCTATTCATTAAATTATTCTTAATTAAAATATTTATTCTCTATCCATTTAATTTTTATTATATATAATTATTATCTGAGAGCGAAGAAAGTTTTTTTTCTTCTTTTTTTGGTTCATAAGTAAAATCAATCTAATCTCTTGTGTGGGCTGTAATAGGATGGAGCAGCAATCCAGTGAGTGCAAAGCGGTACCATTTCATAATCAAGGCCGATGGGAATTCAATCGGTGGCTACAACAAAACATGTGCTGGTTGTGGCGAATCCCTTCATATGTCCGACTCCAGGTGAGAACGAATCATCTCGTTAGTTTACGTTTTTTGTTTTGGTTGGTTTGAAAATGGCGACATTTGTCAGGGAATTACATTATGTTCCGAATTAGCACGTCTTGTTTTAGTTTACTTGTATGGCTTTTTTTGTGCATACAAATTGCATACTTACTTGATCTTTACTTTAAACTCAAATATGAATCTTGAACTTGTTGTGTACCAAAATTTACAATACATCATGAACTGGACATTGTTGTGTATACAAATAATGTATTCAGTTATTTTATATTTTTCCGAATTCTTGCCCAGGTGCAAGTCATGCAACCATGTCATGACCACTGAAGACGTCGATGACTGGATGTATCAGCAGCTCGAGAACACAACCCATCTTCTTCACGGCGTGATTCACGCCAATGGCTACGGCCATCTTCTTAGAGTCAACGGGAGAGAAGGTGGGTCCTGCTTGCTCTCGGGCCGCCACATAATGAACTTCTGGGATCGTCTTTGCCAAATGCTTGGGGTCAGGTCGGAATACATTAAATCCATCCCATATCATTTTTAGATTCTTAGGTTTATATTTGTAAAATTTTCACAATGATGGTTCAGGAAAGTGAGCGTGATGGACGTGTCAAAGAAGAACGGGCTCGATTTCAGGCTGCTTCATGCAGTCATCAAGGGCCACCCGTGGTATGGTGAGTGGGGCTATCAATTTGGTGCCGGAAGCTTTTCTTTGACACTCGACGACTACAGAACAGCTGTTGCCAGCCTGTCTTCACTTCCCCTGTCAGCATTCCAATCTCAGGGGAGGAAGCCCCGAACATGCCTTCAGGACATGATCTTGTTTTACCAGTCCATGTCTGAGCGTGAGCTCGTGAGCGTTCGGGACCTCTTCACTTTCCTGATGAGTTTGATTCGTGATGTTCTCCAATTAACCCACCTAAAGCTAGACGAGTCTTCTCCGTGCAAGAAGCAGAGGACATGCGAATCGAGGGCCTTGTGTTCGTGGACGGTGGATGATGTGAGACGAGTGGAGGATGCGATGTTAAAGGTGTTGCGTGCTGTGAGTGGGTCCAACTGGGTTGGGTGGCGTGCTCTCAGAGGTGCAGTTTGCAAGTCGGGTAGTCCCGAGCTTCTGGATTACTGCCTTAAGGAACTGAAAGGGAAAGAGGCGGCTCCAGGCTTGGTTGTGGTTGCCCGTTGCATCTCTGACTCCGGCGCCATGGAGTTTAGGTGAGTTTCATTATGTTGGTGATGCTTTGCCATTTTCTTTTTTTTTTTTTATTTTTTTTATTTTATCAGGTTATATAATCCGTTCAGGATAATCTACAACATTTTTCGTTGAGGTTTTTTTCTTATGGAAATTTACATTTATCCCACCACTCCTGAAAGTGCAAGTTGTGGACAGAAACAAATTTTAGTGGGATATTTATAAATTTCATTCGGACAATGCTACATGTACAATTATAGTTTACAACGTTGTTGACAACTTAGTTAAAAGTATCATTGACTCAAATATCAACCATACATTTATTTGCATCTCAACCACCCACATCATGCCACATCATGTTGTCATTGAATGTTGTACAAAAAAGTTGTAGAAATAGCTTTTTCCTTTTCATAATATCCAGCCCTATTGTAAGATTAATGAACCCATCCTAGATCAGGTCTATAAATATTGACAGCTGAGATTGAAATTTAACCATATTTGATACTATGTTTTACAGCGTATGATGATATCGGTAATGATCTACTATGTATGGCGATGCTATTTTTGAAATTAATTAGTTCACCGCTTAAAATAACTGCTAATTGTAGGAAAATAATGCAGTGGTAAAAATTAGCATCATACAGTTTTCTCAATGTTCCTACACTAGAAACTGATTCTTATTAGTTATTACATCCTGTTCACGTGAGTCTGTGTGCGCCTGTTCAACTTTCTGTTTTTTAGTTTCAGTAGTGAACTGAACCTTAACACATCTATTTGTTTTCAGGCTTGAGCCAGGAAGTGCATCCACTCCACAGGAGATCAACACCCCTCTGAACAACTCTCACGACAACAACACAAACCATCGATCTGAAGAACGTCTCCTTCGTGACCTCAAATATCTACACGAGTGCATGCTCAACCCATCAACAATGGCCCCACACATCCCCCCATCAAAGCGAAACGCTGCAGTCAGCTCTGCCACCAAAATCCTCGACTGCAAGCAGTTCGTTAAAGATTACCACCTCACAAACCATCTCTTCTCCACCTTAAACCCCAAGCAGAAAAACTCTATCCACCTCTTATGTGAAATTGACCTCACCGAACAACAGCAGCACGAGGTAATATGCAATCTCAAAAATCCCCCTCTCGAGATTCTCGTTCTCTCACCCAAAGCCACAATTGCCGACCTCAAGAATGAAGCCATGAAAGCCTTTCAGGATGTTTACCTGATGTTCAGAAGGTTCCAGGCAGATGAGTTGGTCGGGTATGGGGCCGTGGACGAGTCGACTCAGGTGAAGCTGTTATTGGGCTCGACTGAGTGTGTAAAGATACGGGGAAGGTTTATAGGGAAGAACAGTGTGAGTAGGTTTAGGATGGAGAGAGGAATTGAGAGGTGGATTGTGGATTGCTTGTGTGGGGCTAAGGATGATGATGGGGAGCGAATGCTGGCTTGTGATGTTTGTAGCATATGGCAGCACACGAGGTGTGCTGGCATTTTGGATTCGGATTGTGCGCCAGCTAAGTTTTTCTGCTACAGGTGTAGTAGGAATGTGGGCCAGACGGGAAATGCCAGCTGGCAGTGCCGGAATGAGGTGGTGGATAGTGGTGGTGGTGGTGATAATGGGGCTGAGCTGGGTATGATGTGCCTGACTAACACTAACACTGGGGTTTTGTAATTTATAAATGTGTTGGTTTTTCTCTTTTATCGTTGGGCTTTTTTAGGCTTGGTCTGTTTTTTCTTTTTCTTGGCCGTTTTTCCCTTGACCACGATTAAGGTTTGGTGTGGTATGTGTAAATATGAAACAGGGCCTTGGAAATGATTTCCAGTGGATGTGTTGGGGTTAGTTAAGCCCGGAGTGGCATTTTTCCCTGCGGGGCGGTATCTTGGTTGGCAAGGGTTTTGTGTAAATTATCTCTGATTTTTTGGTTTTTTTGCTTGCACTTTATAATGCATGGGTTCTTATAATTCTTATAATGATGTGTTATTGAAGGGCGCTGTAAAAATTCAAAATGTGGAAACTATGTTGGAGGTTCGGTTTATGTGGGATTTTCTCTGATAGTTGATGGGATTAAACTTATCTTACAGTTTCAACCAATTGTACACCATTACTCCTATCAAAAATTGATTTTGGAGCAAACACAACTTGCTTGTTGAACAAATTAAAAAAAAAATTAAAAAAAAAAAAAAAAAAAATCTTTTCCACATGGTAAATAATAAATCTGGCAATTTGAAGACACCCATGGTGGATACCAGCTTGTCACACCTGCGACGAGCCGTCATGCCAAACTGTTGAGCATCATGTCCATCCATCGCGTCCACAAGCTTGTACGTGCTCGTCTGAACTCGAAATGATATCCAACTTTTTTCTACTCGTCCTAACGAATCCTGTTAGAGTTATACCATGCTCATTTGGGTTGCTCGAGCATTCGTCAAAGGCCAAATGCTTGCAAAACCAACAATTTCTGAGTATAAACTCAACTTTTTAATTACAAAAACTCAACTATGTATCTCACATTTCAACTTTATTATTAATTTTTCATTCACCTTAAAATGGTTTTGAGATTTTAATTTATTCTAAGTCTTACACTTGCATAAAATAAAATTGTAAAACAATACTCGGGATCTTACTTCAACTTTCTGTATGCTTTGTATCAGCAAATATTCAAGAGTAGCAAACCTCACCCTTTGTCTGACCTAAAATAACATTCGCACATTTGCGTTAGCGCATATGAGAAAAGTATGAATTGTGCATGCGCACAAGCGCACACAGAGTAACACACTAACGTAACCGTGTTTGCTGCACTAAGTGGCAATAATAATGATTGTGAATGCGAAGGTTTTTTATTAGACAAACAAGAAAAGAGTAATACCCACTTCCAATAATTCACGAATGTATGGGAAACAGCTCCTCCACTTCCATTTTTGACTTCTCTCCAGGAAGGTCCACAGCTCTTTTTGCTTAGAGTTTAAGCCTTCCAAATCAGCTTGTCCTAATTTGTCCCAAAATAAAAAACCCACTAGTGAAATGCCAATATGTTAACTAACTTGACAGTAATTAATTCATGCATGTAAGATGTCAGATGATATAATTTATTGATAAGAGAAGGGAAAACTAGACTGTTCCATT